AAGATATCCCTATTTTCAAACTTGCAAGGGTAATACATGTAACAAAGAATTCGACCAATGACAGTGAAAAACTTTCTGCCAAAACTTTAACTTTTTTTTAGATATCAAGACACCTTCATCCTACATGGACATAGCTGTTAACAGTAAAATAAAACCATCAGAATGAAACAGAATGAGACAGCAGCAGTGAAAACAAGTGCGTTTTTTACTAACGTTTCTTTGTCAGAGTTGGATTTAAGATAATAATAATAATAATTATTATTATTAAAACAAGAACCATAGTTCTTATGTGCATCCTTGACGCGGAGAAATGTGTGGACATGGTTTGACACGACAGTTTACCTCTCTCCCTTACTCACATTGGTTATACATGCACCTATCTGTATCTGATCTGTATAAATGTTTTAGTGTATCATTTTGGTGCAGTGGTTCAAGAATTATGAATTTTAAAATCTATTGTGGGACAAGACAGGGTCGTATTTTATCTCCAATTCTCTTTAACATATTTATTGACGGTTTGCTAAGGTAATTATCCGCTATCAAATTTCATTCGGAAAGAATACGTATAATAATATTTCTTATGCAGATGATATTACAATCTCCTCTACTACTGTGCATGGGCTCCAGCTGTTAATTAACACTTGTTAGGACTTCTCCCTGAGTTGGAGATTGAAATTTAGCCTTAAGAAATCCAAATGTATGCCAGTTGGAAAAATGGCAACCAACCTGGCTTTTAGGACAGAGTCCCATATCGAAAATACAGATTCTTAAGATAGTTTAGATGTGACATCTAATAATGTGTGTATAATGCTGATGATCATACAGTAGAACTCCCCCTTCAATGTGTTTGGTTACTAAATGCATGTAGATGTGCATGCAAATATTACAAAGTTTAGCTATATGGTGACAGACAATTCACACTTTTTGTTCTTCATATTTTCTCAAGAACATGTCAAGATTTTCAAACGAGTTGTACGCAATATTAATGGGCAAATTTTTCCTTAAATCTGTACAAAATTTAGATAATAAAGATAAGATAACACACAAGAAGATAACTGGCTTCGGAACACAAGTTTAAATATATTCACGGTAGTTTGTAAGGGGCCACTTTCGTGTACAACGCATATGCTGGGGGTGGTGGTTGAGGGGGGGGTATGTCTTTGGCACGCCTCTAAAATAATGATTAAAAAAACCGGATCTCCTCAGCTCCCCAAAATGGTCTTGCAAAGGTCACCATTTTTAACTTTTCACTCGGATAGGGTTGGACGAGGGTATTGAGAGCCTTCTGTTTGTAGACAATAAAACGGGTGACCCTAACACCACCCGCTTCTCTTTCTCTCCTTCATTATTCTAGGAAACAAGGTCTCTTATAAATGGAAAGCATTTTGCACTTAAATTTATTCACAACAGATAAAAAGTTTAAGCTACATGTATTTCTGGCAATAAATGCATAATGACATCAATATGAAAAAGTGTAGTAAATATTATTGTTCTGTAAAAAGTAATAAAAAAAATATAGGGTAACAGAATTCCCTTTTGCTCGCAAGCTCCGAGCAAGCGAGATGGAAACTAGATCTGGAGAGTTACAAGGCAAGAGCTGGAAACACAAGCCCCCCCCCCCCCCTCTCTCTCTCTCTCACTATCTCTCTCGTCTTTCAATAATATATCCGCTTTACTTTACACCATCATTTCAATCTACAGTATTTCTCTATGGTTTACATAATTTTTGGGATATAATCAAAAGCAAAAGACAAACTGGTTAATTCCACTTGATTTTCTTACTTTCCACTCGACTTCATGTAAATGAGTATATCACAGACAGGAAAATAAAAATGAGCTCGAGTTCATTCATGGCTTTATATACTGCAGCCTCTCCCTAATCTCCAAGCCTATACACCCTTATTAGTTTTCAGCGGGTACTTTTTGGTCTTTAGACTGAAGTAGCACACGGAGATGGTGATGATTTTGTTGAAACAGATTACATGCATTTAATCAAAGTTCTACGCAAATGCCAGTATAAATACAAAACCACTGATTTTGGTGTCTATTTGAGCTACAGCGATTTGCACCTGTTCGGTTCATTATCAATGAACAGACACAAGAAGAACGCAGTTTATCAAGCACCCTAGTTGTCTAGCACAGAATTTCACTCCAGCGCTCTCTCTTTCTCTCTCTCTATCTACATGTGCATGGTAGAATTACTTTGTCCGTATTTTTGCAACTGTACATTATTTCTCATATGTTGAAATTATATCTGTATTACTTATGCCGATAGAGGCACATTTATTACATTTTAAGGCCAAGAAAAAGTATAAGTAAAAGCAACTTGCAATATATTAATACTCAAATAGATATAAGCGGACACCTGTTGCTCGAACAGTGAAGCATGCAACCAAGTTTTCTTTGCATAAAAAATCTGAACCAAACGACCAGTCACCTCTACTTTGAAGGAAAAGAGACTATTGGAAATTTGGTTTTAATCGCTTGGACATTGCATTTGCTAAATGTTTCTTGATAATAAGATGGAGTTGCTTAAATATCATTGGTTTATATACCTATTTTTCGACTTACTATCATTGGTAGAAATCTACCATTCTCTTAAAGTGAAATTGTTTTATCTGCCAAAAGGTTAACTTTAACATTTTTTTTTACACTTCGCAACACTTTATAGCCTACATGGACGAAACTGTTAACTGTAAAAGAAAACCATCAAAATGAAGTTGACAGCACAAAAGCAATGGAAAGCGCTTAAACGTTTTTACTGATGCTTCTTTGTCAGAGTTGGACTTAATAATAATAACAATAATAATAATAATAATAAACTTTACAAGCCCTGTTTTTAATTTTAATAAAGGTGCGGCAAGAAAAGTTATCAATGTTCCATTTTTATAAATTTTAAGAAAACATATTCCTAAGAGCATACTGCAAGGGCATTTAATTACAGAGAAGTGGATTATACTCAAGTGAATAAATATTGAACTAGGTATTTTTTTCACTTACTGTACACGTACATCCTAACCTACGGCAGTGTGGAGCATTAATATAATGAATTTTGTTTGGACCTAATATATTTTGAAAAAATTCAGGAGCCGGATTATATTAGTATCATGCTCACATATTTAACATTATTTTTTTTATATAATACCAAAAACAATAATTCAAACCGACAAAATCGTTGATGGTCATTCCACAGCAGTTATTACTGGGTTCCGTGAGTTTTTTTTTTTTTTAGAAGTTCTATATAACTTCTCCTTCAAGGTGCCTGATTACCAAATACATGTTCTAGCAAATATTACAACGTTCAGCTATCAGGAAGCAGACAATTCACAATTTTCTTTGTACTTTCATATGTTCTTAAGAAAATGAAGATATATATATTTCATAAGCTGTACAAAATATAAATAAGCAGTTTTTCCTAAAATCTGTTCAAGACTTAGTTAACTGAGATAACACACGAGGAGATAACTGGCTACGGGACAAAAAGTTAAAATATATTCACGCTAGTTTGTAAGGTGTCATTTTCGCAAATCAACAAGGCATTTGCTGGGGGGGGGGAGTTAATGTCTTCGGCAAGCTTTTGAAATAATGATAAAAATGATGAACTCCTCAGCTCCACACAGCAAAGGTCTGGCAAAGGTCACTATTTGTAGCTTTCACTTTCAGATTGGGGTGGGGGAGGGTACTGTATGTAGCGAGGCTTCTTTATGTAGACGAATACAATGACGATAAAATGGATGGCCTTTGCACACCCCTTCCCTTTTTCTCCTTCAACATTCTAGGAAATAAAGGCTCTAATATTCTTGTAAAATGGAAAGCATTCTGCACTTAAAATATTTCACAACAGATAAAAAGATTATGCTTTTTTCTGGCAATATCTGCATAATGACATCAATATGAAAAAGTATAGTAATAATTATTGTTCTGTAAAAAGTAATAAAAAATATAGGGTAACAATATTCCCTTTTGCTCGCAAGCTCCGAGCAAGCGAGATGGAAACTAGATCTGGAGAGTGACAAGGCAAGAGCTGGAAACACAAGCTCTCTTTTCTCTTTCTTTCTCTCTCTCTCTCTCTCTCTCTCTCTTACCTGCACGTTCTTGGTAGGATTCCTTTGTCTGTATTTTTTCAACTGTACATTATTTCTCATATGTTGAAATGATATATTCGTATTACTTATGCTGATAGAGGCACATTTATTATATTTTAAGGCCAAGAAAAAGTATTAGTAAGAGCAACTTGCAATATATTAATACTCAAGTAGCTATAAGCGGGCACCTGTTGCTCGAACAGTGAAGCATGCAACCAAGTTTTCTTTGCATAAAAAAATCTGAACCAAACGACCAGTCACCTCATCTTTGAAGGACTGTTGGAAATCCTGTTTTAATTGTTTGAACATTGTTATTGCTATTTTTTATTTATTCATTTATTTTCTTTGATAATTAGATGGAGCTGCTTCTAGATCTCATTGGTTTATATCCTTTTTTCCAACTCTCAAATTATTTGACCACTGACATTGAAATGATTTGATTTGCCCAGACTTACTTTTTTTTCTTAGATTTCACGACAGTTTTATAGCCTACATAAGGACAACGCTGTTAACAGTAAAAGAAAATCACCAGAAGTTGATAGCTCAAAAACAGTGAAAAAGGAGTGAAAGGCACGTACCAGTACATATTTTAACTATCATCTCCTTCTCAGAGGACTTTTGTGCTTAGGCCTACTACACTTGTAGCCTACTGTACAGGTATATGTTCACAGTTTGTCAGCAGGCCACAAGTTCAACAAAAGGTTTATGCAAAGGCATTTCATGCATCAAAATACTCTCATTACGCACGAGAAATTAAAAGTAAAGGAAAAATTGTTAAGTGAGTATTGAGGAAAGAAAATGATGATGATAAAAACTGCGATTTACCGGTAATTTACGATTCCTTCTCTGAGTGTACTGTGACTGATAGGGAATTCCCAAATGACGTCACGCTAGTAAGTCGTAGCGCATGCGCATCACAACAAAACCAAAGGAGCTTGTCTGTTAGTCGCGTATGAAGAATGAGGGTAAGAAACAATTTTATTGATTATTATGCTCACGGCAGAACGTTTGTAAAACGTGAAATATCACGTACTCTTAATTGTTACTCGATGCATATTTTCAATTGGTCTTTTAATTTATGTGCAGAGTAAGGGAAAGAAGAGTTGTAAATGGTAGACCCACGGAGCAATAGAAAATGCCTGTTTTGGGGCTTACATGCTACGGTAATGTTTAGAATGTAAGGCCGAAAACTTGAGATACCCATACACAAGGCATGGCATATTGTTCAGTTTTAGTTGCTTCAGATAATAGGGCAAATGAGGTTGAATTCTGGTGACCTCAGAAGCCAGAGGAATGAATATGAAGTATGGCAGTGAGTGTGGGTCTCTATGGTTATCTGTATCCGTTATAACCTCCCATATAAAAGTACTTCTAGTTTTACCACCAGTGCAAGCTCCACGGTTAAGCTTGGAATTTGATATTCTTCCTGTTGGTTCCTTTCCAACATTCCTCAGACTCAAGACGAAGGCTCCGTTTCTTTATGTTCTGAATAATAATAGGCAACAGTAAATAACATTATAATAGCATGTTGTTTTGTCTTTTTACTTGATATGCAATTGGTTTTTATGCACAAATCTGGTTGTAAAAACGAATTATTTTCATCAGACTGACAAGTAATCCCCATATGTCTTATTCAGCATAGGTCAACAGAAGAGTTGCCCTTATCTCTAATGTGTCTTAATTATTGTTGGTTAAGCTTTTTGGCAAGCCAACAGTAGATATCTCACTTCTCTCTGTTTGTCTATGCCAGGGAAGGCAGTTATTCGGACAAAGCTTTTGCCAAAGACCAATACTAATTCACTTTGTATAAATGAGATTAAATGTGCAGTATTGATTTGATGACAGAAGGTGTCAAAAAAGCAGAGGAAATATAACTGAAACAACATTACCTGAAGTTTTCCAAGCTAGGGTATTCCTGCCAAAAACTCAAATCATAACATGAATTTCCCTGGGATAAATTACATTTTCCTTCCAACTTACCAATCTTTAATCTTTCGTTTCTGACACTCTCCATAACTCTGTAAAAATTTTGAAAAAAGCCAATGATCAAAACCCACAGTTAAGCCCAGGTTTTCCTAGCTCCTCTTTGGATTTATTATATTGACTTGACATATGACAAGACTCTTGTGCCACATCCAGCATTGTTTTCAAGATGGCAAACATCCAAGGTTGAACAGGGAATAATGTTTTGTGATTATTTTTTGCTATATTGATTAAGGCCATTTACTAGTAGCTGTCAGTTTATGTTTTAAAAGTTTAGCTGTCATTCTATGTTTAAATTGCCCTCAGGTAAGTTCAACAAGAAGCAGGTTATGCTCTTTAAGACTTACAATGGATCAAAATCCTGGTTGGATCACTTTAAACTTAAAGGAAGTGTGTTTTTGGTCATATATCTATATACTGGAACATTGCTCCACATTACACTATTGTCATCCAATTCAGGCTGCCGTACAACTGTATTTTGATTAATGTATAGTCAGTCTCATTCTTTACCAGCTGTGACCAGAGGCGTATAATTGATGAATTAGATTTGGATTCAGCTGTGTAAATTTATTTAAAGACCTATGTATATGACATTTAGGTGTAGTTTTAATATACCTCTACAAATAAATATATGAATTATATAGTATTTGCCATTGTTAAGCCATATAGCTTTGAAATTAATTATGTTATTCATTGCATGCACAAAAAGAAAAGGAAAGTTAAACATATCAGTAATCATTTTTATGATGTCAAATTTTCCATATCTTTTATATTCCAGAGAAAAAAATCCAGGATACTTGCAATGGGTTGAACAAAGTTCCCACCCTCCAAGTTTCTCATTCAATTCAAACAGTAGGACTTTCTTTTACAATGTCCACTCAAAGGACATATTCATAAAAACTGAAAATGAAAGAAAAGAAAATCGGGAAATTAGTTATAGGTGTGTTAGCCGTCCTAGTGCTTTTGGGGTTCCTATTCATGGGTTACTTCTGTGCTGACCAAACGTGTGCCTTAAAACCCGGCTCCCCTACGCCGGGGTACCTTCACTTTGATGTGCAAGCTTACCTAAAGGGGGAGCTACCTGCCAAGGTGTTTGAAGAAAAAGACTTGGAGAGGGATTTCCAGGTGGATTTGGAAGACGGGGACGTGATCGTCTTTCACCATATGCAGAAGACTGGAGGGACTACATTTGGGAGGCACCTGGTGAATGATCTGCAGCTTAAGGTAATATTCACAGGAGGTTGAAAAACTGGTATTTTTGTCTGCTGTATCATCCTTTTTGTTGAATTATCTAGGATGAAAGTTGCTGAATGATTGAACACATTAATGAAACCTTGAAAAAAATCCTCTGAGTTGAATTTAGTATTTTATTCAACATGTAGTGGCTGCTGATTCATTCAGATCTATTTTATCTTTAATTTACCTCAGGTAATTGCTGTTATCATCTTTTATTATTGACATTTCACTATGATCCTTGTTATGTTGTGCTCCTTTCTTATGACAAATAAGAAAAAAAAGTTCAGAACTGTTTGGTAAATTTTATTTTAGCATCCCTGTAGAAAAGTGGATGGAAGGAAGCGTTACGACTGCCAGAACTCTGATCATCACGTGTGGCTGTTTAGCCGTTACTCTACTGGTTGGCGATGTGGCCTCCATGCTGACTGGACCGAATTACAGGAATGTGTGGACAGGGAGATGGATGCATTTGAAGGGAAACACAGGACGCGAAGGTTTGGGTTCTTGATTTGTAGGAACATAAGGATTTGATGATATGACTCAACAGATTTAATTTTGTTTGAAAAACAAGTGTAATCTTAAAGAGTATGTGACTCATAAATCTTTTCATACAGCTGGTTTATAGAGTGAAGAAGTGAATGCTATTGATCTACGTACAAGGTAGATGCCCTAGTGATATACTGCTTATTATAAAATATGCTATCAGTATTATCTGTCTCTTGCTGCATCTTTGCCATAATCTGCTTCTTGGTATTTCAATAGGTTGAAAAAGTATCACTGTCGTTTCAAACTAGACGTGTTTCATTTTCAGATACCATTACATCACTATGCTACGAGATCCTGTCAAGCGGTACCTCAGCGAGTGGATGCATGTACGACGTGGCGCCACCTGGAAAACTGCCCAGTTAAGATGTAATGGTCGCCAGGCCACATTACAGGAAGTGCCTTTTTGCTACAACAGCTCAGACTGGTACGGGGTCACCATCGAGGAGTTCTTGGCCTGTCCTCATAACTTGGGGAACAACCGTCAAACCAGAATGCTCGCCAATCTTAGCGCTGTTGGTTGTTATAACAGAAGCCTATTGCCACCGGATGTGCGCGATAAAATGCTCTTAGAAAGTGCCAAAACTAATCTTAGAAATATGGCTTACTTTGGCATATTGGAGTACCAGCCAGAAATGCAGTATTTGTTTGAAAAGACCTTCCATTTAAAGTTTGGTGTGCAATTTAGTTTGTTTAATAAGACACATATCACTAAGCTAAAGATGAGCAACAAAACAGTAGAGGAGATCGTCAAGGTTAACAGCCTCGATGTGAAACTGTATCAGTACGCCAAAGAACTATTTCTTCAGAGGGTTAATCATGTTCGAAGGAAAGCAGCCAAAGCCCAGGAGACCATTTCACAGTATTCTAATCTCGAGAAAAGCAATATTGACTACATTGTGGACAGTTCAAAACAGGTTGTGCCTAAAAAGGAGGTCCTGAGCAGGTCTGAGGAGAATAATGATGGCAGCAGCAGGTCTGGAAGTATTAATGATAAGACTGAGAGATCTCAAAGTACATTGGATGTTCATGTAAGTGAAACTGTGCCAAAAAAGGTCAAGGGAGACCACGACCTTGAACCTGGCAGGTTTGATGGAAGTAGGTCTGAAGGGATTGATGAACCAAGAAAAAGCAATATTGAGCCCCAGATTGATAAATCTGAAGGAGACCAAGCAGACTCCAGGTTAAAAAGTTTACACCAGGAAAAATCTTTGTTGACTTCCAAACCTGGGATAGACGGGCTCCATCGTGAATCTCGTTCAAGACAAGTAACTGGTGAAAATTACGATGACTCTGAACTCGATATTGACGAGGAGGATAATGACGATGAGGATGAGGTCAAATAGGTACCTTAATGAATTTTGGAAAAATGAATTTCATCTTGATGTGAATCTGAAAGAAGTATTTTCTTTGCGTGAAGCGATTGGAAAAAATTGAATGTGGTAGAGTCTTTCTGAAAAAAAATTAAGAGAAAAATAGTTTGCCGGTTATTATGAACTGTTAATAGTAGAGTGAAAAAAATAGTCCTAGTCTGCAATAACAAATGTAAATTTAAATCACAAAGGACTTCCAGTCATGAATTATTTGTTCTATTACATTACTGTGTACTTTTGATTTATTCAAATCTTTATATTCATCAGTTTTTACAATCTAGATTTCATGTCAGTTCCCATTTTTAAATAGGGCTTAGGGGAATTGTGCATTAATTATTGTGCTAAGTAAACTTGGAAAGGTTTTGGAATGTTGTAGGTCCTTGTACAGCACATCCTTCAAAGTCCATGCATTAATATTTATTGATGATTAATATTTAATGATGATTCTGTTAGATGATGATTAAATGAAATGAAAACCAGGGACATCAAATAAAAATCATTGATGTCAGTGATAAAGCATCAAATACTAGGTTGAAACTTAAGATACTGTCCCTTACAATTAGTATTATAAATGTCCTTTCTAAATAACTGAACAGTATTAACTTTGTGGGTTGTTTTGATTAAGTAATGATGAATTAATGTACAGAAGAATTTGAGGATAAGGTAAACTTAAAGCTTTGATCCATCTTAAGGCATGGGCCAGAAATGGTTACATTTTCATTACAAAGTACCCAATAATGCACTATTTATGAAAAAGGAAATATCTTAGTAGCTATTCAAAGAGAATTTGAGGATAAGATAAACCTGAAGCTTTGATTCGTCTTAAGGAATAAGCCAGAAATGGTCACATTTTCACCACTAACTACCCAATAATGCACAATTTATTTATGATAAAGAAAAATATCTTTTTATTAGCTATTCAAACAAAAATTGTGATGACTTAGTTCTTCTTTGTGCCATATTTTAGACTAAAAGTTTTTTGTGTGTAAATAAGCTATGGGGAAAAGAAGTGGTTGTATTTAGTACTATAAGCTTTAATTATTTTTTACCTATCTGTGGATGTCAGTATTTAAGATTGACATGTTTAGTTCATATGTTCATAAAATCATACAGTGCATATCAAACTGGAAAATAACAAAAACATTTTCCTTCGGCTTCAGCAGATTTTCTTTAAATCTGTAAAAAGTGCCCTATCAAAAAAAAAAA